ATTCCCAGATGCCCCCTTTGTGCAGCTGGTCACGCAGCGTGGTACAACTTGACTTTTGACAGTTCCACCGCAGGAAGGGGGGAGAAGGAATTGAGAACGGTCTAGGCCTTCGCCGAAAATGCGATGCCGACAATGCAAACATGGGACAAACCGACTCGTGCAAGTCGCATCACCATCTACAGCACAGCCTGGAGCTGGGCTACTGCTGCTGCGCGCGCAAGAAAGCAAATGGAGCGCGCATAATCCGTGGCGGCTGAACGGGGGGCCTGGGTTCAGTCACGATCAATGTAACCTTGTAAGCGAGCTAGACGCCGCCGCCGCCGAGGGGACTGGGCTCTTGGTGTCGCAATGTCGACATCGTGCATTGTGCATCACGCGCATCCCGTTGGTGTACCGTGTGGCCCTTGAGCCTGGTCGCTTGAATCGCAGTTTCGAACAGGTGGCACGAAGGAGGAAGAGAGATACTGCGTAGAGGCACAGATCAGGAGGTGAGCTTGACAGAGAGAAGAGAGAGTAGCGAGGGGTCTCACGGTCCACGATAGCTCAGAATAGGAGATTTTCGGTTTCAAGTTGAGTGTAGGTGGTGGCACGACGGCGGCGGCCGGGGGTAGCTGGTCTTGGGATCCTTTGGCGATTTCCTCGCCTCTTTTCTCGCCTCGCCGACCCGGACCCAGCTCCGGACCCTTTCCCCGTGCGTACCTAGGTAGCTGGTATAGGTAATTGTTCATGTATCTAGGTCAAAGGTACTCTGAACTTTGGCTACTTACTTGGTGGAATGGAGGAGGCCTGTCTGAGTTCCATATGGCTGACAAACGGATTCTCGCGATGGAACCTGGCCACTGCAAGCTAAGCAAGCGAGCCGAAGCTTATTGCACTCCAACCTCGCCCGTCAAATTGAGTGTATTTCCCACAAACGTTGCGTGATGTGATTTGCACAACTGCCGGAGCTCTTTTCCGTCACCATAGTTATGGATCAGGATAACTTCGATGGAGCCCCAGCTGGCCCGCCCCTCAGGTTCAGGTGTCTGTGCTGGATCGAGACAGACTGGACGCGTAACGGTAACGCACATGGTAGTGTAAGAAGGAAAAAAAAGTTCCTACAAAACCCTCGGGATGGGATTCTTGTGAATGCTACCCTACTTGCAAAGTGAGGTACCTTAGCAGAGTGCCTGAGCTTAAGTCACTATGTACGCGACAGCTATTTTTTGGCATGTGTTTGCCAGACGGGAAGATGAACTTGTCCGCGTCAATGTGACACCTTTCAGGGTCCTCTTTGTCTCGAATCCCGCAGTTTTGATTTCCCATTGACGAGCCCACACGGGCTTACGTGCCCTAGCTCATGCTAAACCAACTGTCCAAGCAGCGCAACGCGAACAAGAACCGTCCCGCCCCCACGCGAACCCGACGAGACGTTCCTTTGCTCGTTCCTGCGCATCTTCAAAGGATGTTTACTCGTTTTCTCTTCGCTGTTGCGCAGCCGTACATATTGTTGCTTGCTCTCTCCTAGGCCGCCACCAACACCACGACCACCACCCCCCTTCCCGCTTGGCACGCTGTCACGCTGACTCCGCCTCCGGGGATCTCGCGGTTTGGCCGTTGGCCCGTTACCGTTGCTGTCTCCAGCCCCCGTGTAACCCGGTCGATCCTCTGCCTTACGAGAATACGTGATCAACCGAGGAGGAACCTGGGTCCCGCAGAAGGCTTCCAGGAGTTGAGGCATTACTAAACACCAAGACCTGCGAACATTTTACGCTCGTCCGTTCCGCGTCACGCTACTGGTGATCCTCTGCCCTGGCAGAAACACTCTGACGCGCAACACAGATCGTACGCAAAACCCACGAGGTATGAACAGTCACAAGTCATCCGCGACGCGTGTCTTGTCTTGTTACCCGTTGACACATCCTTTTTTTTTTTTTTTTTTTTCCACTTTCCACATGTTCCTTCATATCCTTAGTCGCAACAAATGTCCTTAGTTGCCGTTGCGACGTTGGATGCCTAGCGTGACTAACAGCTATGGTGCTGCGCCTTGGCTGGACTTGCCGTGCAGGCTCGTGTATGAAGACATGGTGACCCTTGCTTGAGGGTCCCTGGGCGTCGGGCGCAAAAACAACTACGGATACGGAAAACAGTTCATCGCACGATGAAGCCCAAAGCTCCAATCTCTTTCTGGAAGGCCACCAATACGGCACCTCCGAGGCTGATTGGAATTGCTGCCCGCGGCAAGCAGATTGGGGCCGCTGGGCGTGTTGTGCGAACGGACCGCGAAACAAAGCAAAAAAAAGCCAAGAAGGAAGTTTGGGATATTTCCTTCGTTCGTAAAAAAAGTTCCCGAGAGGTGTGGCTTTTGGGTTACTATCGAGTCGGCCCGAGAGAAGCTCTTCGTCGAATACCTCGCCCAAAGGACGGATTGATCTGGGAATGAGATATGACGAATACGGACATCAACGAAGAAGCGCATATTTTAGAGTGCGATTAGCTATTCAAGGGTAATAATTCCGGTGCTGGGATGTTGACTCAATAACTCGAATCCAGCCCATGACTTTTTGAGATACACATGCGCCTGCTGCGTCTCGACGTTGTCGACTGGCCTGCAATTCACGAGCCTTTCTGCAGCAGACACTCAATACTGCATATTGTATGCCCCGATGAGTAGAGGCCTCCAGGCTTGCGATGCTTCTGGTTGGGCTGATTGTAGGTCGGTGGAATCTAACCCTGGATGTAAACCTCCACAGCCATTGCTGAACTTCTTACTTGCTCCTTTCACTCTGGAACAAATGCTATTGGCAAGAGGCTGTCTGGGCTGTTCTAGAACACTATTGGTAGTGACTGACCAGGTTCCTGTGATGGTGGGTGATATCGCCGAAAAGCCTTTGTCCTTTCATCTCTTGGGTGTGGCGGATGTCGAACGACATTGTACCGGCTAATTCCACTCGATACACCCCTCGTTGACAAAGTGCCACCAAATAAACGCGGGTGCCGAGGACATATGACCCGATACTTGGTATCCCGAGGTGTCACACGGTGACGTGTAAGTACTCCAGGCCAGCAGGAGTAGTCTTTCCGGATTCGATAATGAAGCATGAGGCGTCGTTGGCGTATGTAGTCGATAAGATCCTGTCTACCCATTCGATGCTCTGGAACAAGCAGGCAGAAGAGCGGTCTGGATTTCCGAGAGGGGTAATGTGACTGGACGAACGAAGCAGGCTTTCTTATATTACGCCCGAACTCTGTCTAGGCAACAGTACGAGTTCAATAATTCTCGGTATAAACATCCTGAACTTATTTGATGCTTTTATTGTAATCCTGGAAACCGAGCTACCATGGCGGAATGCAATGGTCAGGATGTCATGGAAGATGTCTGGTGCCTACCATTAGTGAATTTGCAGCCATGGCCATAACTTTCAGCTACCTCAAATCTAGCCAGCCAATTTCGTAACAACGTGCGATCAAAAACAGGCCACGGCATACCCGACAAATTGAGGTATCAAAATGATAATATGGTGACTCTTCTAAATAGTCTGGACAGTAATACCATGTAAAACCTACAAATTCCAAAATAGAAGCTTTAATTCACCACCAATTCGCATATCTCCCATTTTTAGCATCTTCATAGGTAGAATAACAGTAAGGCAGCAGCGCCAAAGACATTCCAAATGTTGATAACCACGTTTGCAAGTCGCAGACTATCTCCAGCTAAAAAAAAAGGAGATCGGTCAGAAAATGGGGTCCAATGTTTGAACGAATCTGCATGAAGCATCGTATTGTACATGTATGAACGGGATATGTCTGAAGCAGGTTTATTACGATTCCCCTTACCTCTTATGATCTTATTTACGAGTTCTCTAACGGTGTCCAAGAACCATATCTCACTGACTCAAACGCGGAAGAGGATAAGTGCTGTACAAGTATGATAGTCTTTTGTGCTAAAATCTGCTTACGTTTTCAGAGTTCCTGATGACCGCCGTATAAGTTCCCGAAATAATTTGATGAGCTCTTCCGGTCTCTCAAAACAGCTCGCACTTGGCATGGATTAGATTCTCAATATATGACCTCCATGATTAGCTATCAGGCACTACGAGTCTTGCACACCATATTCATGTTTTAGCAGAGAGCCTCCATGTTTATCTTCTAGAAGTCTTTTTTTCTCTTCGAGATTTTCCAAGTTTCTTTGAACTTTGAGTGAACCAGGAGCCTGTCAGTCACTAAAGATACCTCGCCAGACTTCATCTGCCGTCGTTCTGGTCTCGATCGTCAGTCGTGGCCCACCAAGCCAGCCTGATTCTGAGGGTCCTTAAGAACACTCTCCATCCACGATGTCAAGCCTTGTTGGCTAAGTGGTATAGCGTCTCACTAGTATTAGTGACATGAGAAGATCGGCGGTTCGATTCCGCCACGAGGCAATTCGTAGCTCACAGCAACGAGCGATATTTTTTGTTTTTGGATCTCATCGACCGACCAGCGAGCGAGTGAGGCCGACTCCCGATTGTGCTCCACTTGTCCAACGCTTTCTCGTTCGATACAGCTATAACTGAGCGCAATTCAGCTTTTGATGTAAGGAAACTGAAGAAAGACAAGCTGGACAAGCAGTAGTGAGATCTCAATTGAAATGGCGTAGGAAGTGATCTCATAAGACATTTGTAGTTTGTTTGATACGCATTTTTGATAACAAGCGCACTTCGCAGAGAATTGCCGGCGTTGGAGAAGTGGAGACAGCAAGAGTTAAGGACCGGCATCGGCCGTCACCTCACTGTCGGAGTCTCTTGCCTTGATCATCTCCAATGTTAGGCTTTACGTAAGGAACTTTGCGTATCCAAAGTGCCAAAGCAGCGGGGTTCAGCCGGTTGATGGTATCGGGATACCATAAGCACCATGATATAAGAACTTCAGTCGACTTCCATTCAAAGTCTACCGGCTGATCGCATTCCCCTTTTCCTCAAATCGTTGGTCTGCCAAGTTTTTTTTCTTCCTCCCTCGACCGAATCGCGAGCAGAAGTTACACAATGTCAGTCGCCGACATGGATCCCGCGCAGCGTCTCAAAGATCGGAAGCCGATCCCGAAGCCTGTCCCGGCTTATCTCCCGACCGCCGGCTCGGTGCTCACAGTCGACAAGGAACTGTACGGATCCGCGCAGCAGGCGAAGAGAGTCTTGATTGAAGAGTTTACGCTGCCGATTCGGTCCGGAAGAGCATGGAAAGCACCCGCCGGGTCAATTGTGAGGATCAGCACACCGGAGGGTCCTCAAGTCGGTACGTCGCAAAGATGAAGACGAAGATTTCTTCTTTCAGAACAAGGGGCGCTCATCCTGGCCACAGGCGATTTGAACATTTGGAACGCGCACAACCCCCGCGAACGCTTCTGGGCGAGTCGCACCAAGCAACTTCACGCCAGCCACGTTTCGACGGGCGACCGCCTCTGGTCCAATTTGCCTTACATGCGCCCGCTGGCCACCATCATCAAGGACTCTCTGGACTGGTACGGCGAGGATGAGCACGGTGGACGCGTACACGATCTCCTCGGCACGCGTTGTGATCCGTACATCAACACGGTTCTCAGCGGCGGCAACTACAACTTCCAGTGCCATTCTAACTTGACACGCGCGGTGCTGCCGTACGGGCTGAACGAGCAAGATGTCCATGATGTGATTAACATTTTCCAAGTAACTGGTTTGGATGAGCAGGGGCGGTACTTTATGAACCCCTGTCCTGCGCAGCCTGGGGATCACATTGAGTTTTTGGCTGAGCAGGATCTCTTGATGGCTTTGAGTGAGTGTTGCCCCTTTTCCTGATGAGCTTGGTGTCTGCGCTGCAACCACAAGGGCTCCAGCAGTCTGAACTGGGGAAGCTATCGTACTACTACGAACACACGACTGACTAGTATCGTAGGCACTTGCCCTGGTGGTGACCTCTCGCTTTGGGGCTTTGGGGAGGACAGTGAGGAGGAGATGATCAAGTGCTGTCGCCCGCTCAAAGTTGAGGTGTTTCGTCTTGAGGACGAGAGTCTCCTGCAACGCGGTGGCTGGAAGCCGGCCGAGGTTTCCAAGTATAGCGGGCGTCATGGGATGGGCATTCCTCTGGGGGAAGTTCGCAAGTGATTCTGATAGATGGGACGGCTGTAGATGGTGTTTTTAGAGGAGTACAAAGTTTGAAAGGGATAGGAGGTGATGATTGGAGTTCGGCGTGCAGGTGCGGTGGGGTGAGATCGCTTAGTAGACATGAACATGAACAAGAGCATACAATAACTTCGATGCCTAATATCAAGTTGAATCATTACTTGTAATATTCAAGCGGTCTATGATCGTTGAGGTCCCTTGCGCCTCCCAATGCCAAAGTACGATCTATCCCGCTGAATCGGCAACACCGACGGCAGCAACCCCAGATGATACGGATTATTTGCATCAACCCCAAACATGACGGACGCCGAACTCCTCTTCTGCATTGTCACCTCATCAGCAGCACAGCTTCCATGCAACTCCTGGTCCCACCACGGCCCTCTGACAGCATTTGCAACAGCCAAGAACGTCGCTGCTCTAAACGGCAGGTCGCGCGACTTGCTCCTCCAGATATCCAGACAACTGACAAAAAAGACGACGCTCAGCATCGCCAGCACGATCCACAACACCACTGTCCGCATGATGTACACATCCTCCTTGACCCTCGCTACTGCAGGCACGCTGGCGGTGCCAAAGTACCCTGCTGTTGAGATGGCGGCGATGGACTGTGCAATATTGCCAAAGAAGTGGCCCCAATCTGCTGCCGTGGGGATCGCGTATAAAGTATCAATCGTTTTGTCAACGATTTGGAGCTGCTCGCGAAAGATCCACCAGGGAATGGCAGTCATGTAGTCCTTCAGCACGTCTAGCGCAGCTGTATCGATGGCTGTGGTGTTCGATCCCGGGTTGCCCACACAGTCCGTCATCAAGGTGCCGTTGAACGTGCAGGCGCCGACTTCCCAGGAGAACTCGGGAGTGCACTTGGTGCGGGAAATCCAGTGGCCTTCGGCAGTTTGTGTGAGGCTACTGTCATTGGTGAGAGTCTCGGCTTTGAGTGATGAGGAGGGCCCCGCGGAGATGAAGTATGTGGTGCCACCGATAGGAACATTATTGATGGAAGTGTTTGCTGCGCTGTTCCAGAGACGCAAGCTCTGCGATTCCTGCTTCTTGGGGGTAACATCGATCGTCTGATTACTGGAATCGGGAAGGGTAAATGTGTATGAAGCGTTGGCGCCGTGGAGGGAGCTGGTGAACGGTATTTGGGTTGCTGCTTCGCAGTTGGCGTCCCAGTGGTACAATATAAGGCCGTGGTAGGTCGTGTTAATGTTGAAGGTCAGGTTATGTGTCGGGATGGGACCAATGACGCCCGAGAAGACGTCGACGAGGGCACTTTGGCTGACGATGTTCCCAGTAAAGGTGTAGACGGTTCGCGAAAGGAAGTTGTCGTTGTCATCAAGAGTCTGGTTGAAGGTTCCCTGCCCGTCCCAACCCATCGCGTTGGCCAATCTCGTGACGGAGGAGTCGTTTGAGGGAAGGATGGGCATTCCGACAACGTCAACCCCGGTGATGTTTTCGTAATAGGCTCCGGTCGTGAGCATAAGGGTGCCGACGGGAACGATTGAGGTGCGGATAACGATGAGTGCGGCCTGCATGACAGCATACCACCACGAGTATTTCCCCAGAATCCGCAGTGTCCAAGCACTTGAGTCGTCTCCTATTTTGTCCAAGTCCGCCAAGAGGACGGGCCGCTGCGCCGTGAGAGCAAAGAGTCGGAGATGTCTGAAGTCGTGCATGATCCATTGGACCAACATACCCGCCGGGGCAAGTAACGCTGAGAGGGCGATACCGGAGTAGAGCTGGTCAACCTTCAAGGAGTCTGGCGTGCGGAAGACGCGTTGCATGTAGTAGTCTCTGTCAACCGCGGGTCCCTGATATGACCAAACAACCGCCGCCACCGCCGCAAGAAGGTATACCAAGATGCAAGAGATGTAAATTTTGAGAAACTTGAAGTCCTGGAACCTGAACATGCGTTCGGCCGTGGTCCCCCCATAGTGTAGCTGTCCGTCCGGCGGCAAGGACCCACTTTGCGGAGTGTTCTTTTCGGCAGAGGCCCGGTCCTCATCGGACACCTCCCGTTGGAGGGAGCTGTACTCAATTTTCGAAGTCATGGCAAAAGAACCGACCGTATTCCTACCCGAATTTCCTGAACCCTGAGAAACATGAGCACGCGAGCAGGAGGCAAACAGAGATTTTAAGAGATGCTTTTCCGCCACACCCTCCTACACGGACACGGACACGGAGCAGAGGCACCCTTGCTTCCAAGGTGTGTGAATCTACTGCATGTCAGCCTCTAATTTTGTAGTCTGACGATCCTTCAACGACCCGCCTGGGTGGAATCCACGTTGGGCTGATGGTCTAGCCCGAGGCACGCAGCCACCGAGAATAGAGCCAGCCCTTAATTGGACAATCCTTGCTCCGGAGTGAGAACAAGCATAACTACCCGCGCCTGGGGTGGCATCTGAATCAAGCCGCCCAGCGCTGCCTGCGCCAAGACCAGCGTACCGTCAGCCACTTACTTGGAGATTTGTTGCAGCCTACCAGAGGGATGAGGAATGATGCGTGCACTGCGGACAAATTAAGTCTGAATTGCTTGTCAGAGGGAGAAAGTCTGCTGAGTTTGCCATTCGTAACACTCTTAGCGATCATTTCGGGGGCGGACGAACATCACTCTTGTCTATCGGATGTCTTAAATTCGTGCTGAACACTGCCAAATTTCCGACTCCTGGATACTTCAACACACTCACGAAACTATAACAGTAAGAACTATCCGATTATAGGCAAGACCTACCATTGCCATCTCTGATTTAGAAGGAGCTTAACTCATTCCGGCTGTTAAGCCCATTCTTCATTATTTTAACACTCTGCCTCAATCCCTAATCACTTTTGGATATTGCTTCCCAAATCATCTCTTCAACTTCCTTGTCATCTTTCGATGTAGCTTCCTGAATCAGACCTTCCGTCTCCAATGACACAATCTGGCTTAGTGACATCCACACATTTACCAAGCTACTACAGGTAGTCAACCTGAGAAATAAAACAGACGCTGCCGCAACGAGACCTAGGTGCAGTACGATGATAGCAATGACGATGCTAAACCCAACCCACCGGACAGGAATCAACTTTTCCTCTGTCATGGCATACGTCCCTGGCCAAGCATTCCGGAAGTAAGGCAAGGTATCGTAGTAAGACATTTGCTGCGTAACTGTGAGAATGGCTTGTAGTGCCTCTGGTACACTCATGGTCGTTCTGATCACGTCTTGAAAGAGCGCAGAATGTGCGTAGTGAACGGCACGCGAGGAGTATCCTCCCGTCCGTAGCATTCCACAGGGCGATGGGTCTATCAAGGGGTCGTGCAGGCTACGTGTCATGAAAGGCAGTTGAGAGGTGATGACGTCGAGCGATAGTCTGTGATTCTCACTCTTCCAACTTTTCTCCGGAAGTAGTTCGAGCAATTCTGAATCCGACTTTGCACCGGGAGGTCCTTTGCAGATGCTGGAATATTGGTCCCGGATGACATTCGTGGTATACTGGGCATTCGGGCTGTCCCACGCTAGGATCGGCTCCTGGTCGTCGACTTTACTGGACATGCTAATATTTTGGACATGACCTTGTAAGTTTGCGAAGCATGCGGTAACTGACACGCCTACTCTCTTGGCATGTCCTTCCCATGGTATGTCAACACTGTTCCACATCCCGTCCGATGTTGATATCCATTTATCGGCAGAGGCTTCCCAACGGCTAGTGCTGCTGTTCAAGTTGCCGTGAACACGGAGACCCTGATGCCACTGAGGCATCGTCCCAGTGCCGTTGAATACTAGGAATATAGAGGTGTAGGTAGTATTCAGTGCCGAAAAAGGCGAGGGAAGAAATGGCATGGTGTAATTCTTCCCATCCGGCCATGTCCGATTTTCTCCCCTACCCACTGAGCAGATTGAAAAGTTATCAATTTGTGAAGCGAGAGGTTCCCCTTTGGAGTATCCATGAATATCTTCAGCGGGCACAACACAGTTGGAAGGCCACTTTGGCTCATCTATCTGGTCTTGGCCTCGGTTAATCGGTAACTGGTCGTAGCCTCCTTGTATGTCAAACTGTCCGAGGACATTGAACTCGCTGTAGGTTTCTAGCCGTGTGTCATTTGAGAAGTCAAAGGCAACCGCAGAAAATGTGACGTTCCGGATGTCGGGTCTGACACAGACCACTCTGGAGTCTACAAGAGCGGCGGGCCCTTCATAAGTTCGAAGGCGACTACGGCTTGGCCCATTCGCAAAGGGAATGAATGCACGTAGAATAGTCCCTGTATCTTCGTAGAATTCGGACTGCTCGGCCTCGGTAGGCTGCCTTTGTAGTTCCGCAAACCTAGGATAGACCCAAGGCTTTGACTTCCAGATGCTGGAGCCCTGCATCACTGTAGGGTTTATGACGCTACTGTTTCCATACAGTATGTTGACGGCTCTAAGCGGTGCAGGTACATTGACTACTGCGAAATCAGAAAGCAGAGTGGTCGAGGCCAACTGAGATGCTGCTGTCAAGAGAACTGAAGTTGTGATGGCCACGATATAAACGGTCCCAATGCCCCAGGGCATGTCGAATGGTGTCCAACTGATGAGATTATACGGTGACGCAGACATAGCTCTGAGCATGGACACGAAGGGAGCAGCGCTGAACGACACCCCCGTCCGTTCTATCATGAACGAGGCGATCATTGCGGTGAACACGCTCATCTGGAGGGCCAGACAAACACGCAATACAGCAGCCGTCAGAGTGATTGACCTAGACGCCCAGTCGGCGAACACGATTTGGCTCCATAATGTGCTTTTCACAACGACTTCTTTTGCCTGCATCGAATTTTGCCAGAAAAAGCTCATGAAGCCAACAGCTCCGATGATGAAGATAGTGCCAATGCCGAGAACGCAGAGTCCAAAAGTGCCTATAGCTTGCCATCGGCTGGGCTCTTGCGCTGTATTCGCTTGACTGAGCAGGGAGCCAGCCTCGTTGATCAATGACGTCGCAGGGAGAACTTTCCAATTCGGTATGTCGTGATCCAAAGTTCCCCGATGCTTGGTAGCTTCGTGCGTGTCGATTAGCATTGGCGCCCCTAGCTCAACATGTTCTCGAGATGACCTTTGTTTCACATATGTAGTGGATGTACGAATTGACAATGAATCCACACTGCTAATCTCGGACACTTCGTCTGTGCAAGGTGAAGCACTTGGTTTTCTATCCATGTTGTAACGTGATTGACTAGCAGAGCAGAACGCAATCCAGAGTAGAGACTTGAAGAAGAAAGTCGAGGCAGAAGTCCCATTTTATCCTGCCTGGGAACATCGCATGACAGAAACTCTTTCAGCCTGACCCTACCACACATGCTTATGCTGGTATGGCTCAGCCACCGACACACATGCAGTGTGACCCGTATTGTTGTTTTTCCATAGTGGCTGGTATAGGTGCAATGTAACCTATGCTGTTGTATTGCAGTGATGAGCTCCCGCATCTATCTACCTAGGTACTTGAGGAAATTTACTGGTGTCGACACGTATACACATTCTAGGGGTATGGATGCTGGCTTTCAACAAATTTTTTTAACACACGTCCTCTCAAGTTGATGCATTCAAAGCTCTAGCTATGTAATTGGGAATCGTTTCATTTTCGTTCTATGAAGCTTAGGGCTCCTGAACCAACAAACGCATTCTGTGCTGGTGTGATTCACCCCTCCCTCCCCCCTTCTCTGTCCCAAATAATGGGCAGAGCGAGGCAGCTTCGACCGTGTACGAAGCTGACAGACTGAAACAGTGAGTTTCATCACTAGTAACACCACAATTCTCTCGAATCAGTCTCAGAAACCATTTTGACACAGAAGGAAGCTTCGTCCTCCCCAAACTCTGGCTTATCGATCCCACGCCAGATTTTTCTCATGGCAATATGAAAGAAATCTGTGTCTCTGTCTCGAACATGAATGGTGAAGCTTTTGAGATTCTCAAAGTCCCCTTCATGGACAGCATTGGCAAGCCATTCGATGTCCGTAAAGTCCGAGTGATGCTGGGCCAGGAAGGTTAGGCTTCGAAGTGATCGAGGTAACGTGGTGATGAACGCATTTGGGCCGCCCAAGGCGTTCTGATAATTCTTATCAAAGTCCGCTGGATCCACCGAAAGATGCTCGAGCCTTTGAAACATTCCAAAAGTATCGAACCACTCGTTCTCCTCCATTCCCTCATCCGGGGAGAATTGAATAGAAATGGAACTCAGAGTATCTGAGTGTTGCGCCAGTGCCCGTCGGACCCTCATCGAGGAAATGTTCAGTACATCCGGGAACCAGCAGTATACTGGAATGACTTCGAAACCCTGGAAAGAATTGCAAGCGTGTTCTGGTCGGCTTTCCAGTCGTTCTTTACGCCGAGCGGGGTGTCATCTTGGAACCATGCGGCAATTTCACCCAGCATCTCGGGAGGAAGACTCGGTATCGATGGCATGATGGCCGAGCGACTCGGTGCGACGATTAGGTCGACGGCTGGCTTGATGCTGCGGACTCGTTAGTCTTCTGTATTCTCTAGGTAGAGTGAGTATTCTCTACCTCTGCTTAGCTGAGGGCAGGCAACAAGAGGGCGGTGAATGACGCTTGGAGTTTTCTGGCTGCTGCAAGACAGTCCTCTGTCGGCGGCGAGCGGTTGTCCTGCTCTGGAGTGTTTGACTCAGGATCAGAACAGGACGATGATGGCCAGAAGGAGAAGCTTCCTCGCAATGAACTAAGGAGAAGTAGGAAAGGGAAGGGGAGGAAGGGAATAGAATCGACGAGAAAGAAGTCGAAAGCACCTCGTGTGTGGAAGGAGCGAAAAGTGGAAGGTACCTTTCAAAAATCACCTCGTACCTTCCTCAAGCTCGTCCTTCCCCGAAGGCAGGTAGGAGCGGACTGCAACCTCTTGCCGAAGCAGATTTCCTGAACGTTGTATGAGCTAAGGCGGGTACGAAGAAGTCGCTGCTATCTAAATTGATACAGTCGATATTGGAGGATGGCAGTCTCTGGTTTCTTGTCATCACTAGGGCTCAGAACTCTTTACCTTCACTTCACTACGGTAGGGGTACCTTAGACCATGCTGGACGCAAAGGAACGCCATGGCTAAACATAGAGCTTCTTGAGAATTGCCATGTATAGATGGTTTACATAAGAGAGTATTGCAGCTTTATGAAAATAGCATGATACCAAGCACGAGGCCAGTAAGTCATAGGCAGGTACTATTCATGCCAACCTTTTTTTTTGGCCTGTTCTCCTCAAACGAGGCTACTTCAAGGAAGCGTTCTAAATATGCTTATATTCATCCTGGACTACAAAATATAAGTGAGAAATCAAACCGAGACCAAATCATTCCAACTTGCAATTGCCACATCACATAGCCCGATATCTGGTGTTGCGGTTCCAGCCACGCTGAAGCAGTGAAACAATGTATCGACTACCTCGCTGAAGACGGCTCTTGACCCTCTGCGCAAACTCCCAATGAAGCTTCTTGACACGGTATTTACCTCGCACTCTACCTTGGCGCTTCTGGAAACGTCGGTTCTTCTGCCTGTACAAGTAAGCTTTCTTCTTCGTCCGTCGCTGGTAGAGCGTCTGCCGGAGCAACTGGCACAGCTCAGTACCGGGGGTGAGTAACCTGCGGAGAAATTCTCGATCCATAATAGCCTTCTGTCTAGATATACGCTTGTGAATCTTGGCTTGCTCGAGGTGCAGGCCGACAATGTAGTCATCGTCTTCGAAGCCTGAGCCGGTCTTGGATGCGGTGGGAGTTCTGGGCGGAGTTGTTAGTTCATCGGAGCGACGCTGGAAGGTGCGCACTTGGTCTTGGCTATTGAAACGAACGCGCTTCTTCTCGACTCGAGAGGATAAGCCCCTTGAGTTCCTGAGGCAGCTTTGGAGAGTCGGAGTTGATTGCGACATGTTGGATGAGATGCTTGGAGGACTATGGGGTTTGAGGATTAGACAACCGGGCACTCGGCCTCATATAGTAGTACACAAGCTGGAGCATTTGGTCTCAGACTGAAGAACTACTGTAGAAGTCAACTCCAGGACAATCAAGGAGATACATGACATGTCGACAATATGGTTCAATTCGAACAAGGGCTGAAGATACTGCACATTGTTCAAACGAACTGTGAAAGAACAACCTTGGCCATGACTTCGAAGCCTGGCTTTGTCTCCGACTGAGGCCTCGAAGCAAACCTCATCACCAATCGGTAAACAATCATTCTGTTGAAGAGTACAAGAACGCGGACACAACCAAATGCGTGAGAGGCCTGTTTGGGATTATGGAATATGAGGCTTGATGAAGCTGGCCAGCCCAATTGAAGACCGGAAATGCGGGGTGATCATTTCGGCGCCGAGATGCCTGTCCCAGCTCAATGAACGGCATCCGGTGAACAGAAGCCCCGACCGACGTCATTCTCATGCTCTCATATCATTTGCGACGATGTCTTTCAGCCTCATCTCTGTGTACCGCTCGTTTACATAGATGGTGCTGTATCTCTTGAGTTTTTGCTGTTATCGCCGGGCTTGAGATGCCTCGTGAATGTCACTCCAGCAACAGGTCAATCCTCCCCAGTCTGGCCCGGAGCGATTTACCCCGCTACCCCGCCATCCGGCCATTCAGGCCCCGGTACCACTACACTGCGAGCGGCAATCTCTCACTTTCAACTCAACGGCTCTCATTCCAGCTCAGCTCATCGACCATGGCTTTCATCCGCCCCTACAAGTCATCCGACTTTGATGCGACGGGTCATATCGTGCGTCTCACATATCCTTATCTTGGCTTATCCTTGTCCCGCAGCGACTGACAATGAACTCAGTGCCGCGCCACCCTACCACCGTCCCTCGAGCGCTCCGAAGCAGCGACTAGGACCGCGCCCTACTTATGGACACATCAATACACTCATCTGTCACCTGAGACTTGCCACATTCTTGACGATGGCGAGGGAAACTGCGTCGGCTACTGCATTGGCTGCCCCAACGTGAACGACTTTGCGAGCGCGTACCCGCGGTACATCAAGGAAGTCCTTGAGACGTCCAAGGAGCTGGACGGAAGGAAACCGAAGAGCCTCGAGACGAAGGCGCCATGGAACTTTCCAGACACGGGCGAAGTGAATGAGGAGGCTCTCCTGCAGCAGGCTTTTAACCCGACATGGCTGGTGCTCGATGAGGACAGGAAGGAGCTTTGGGGCAACTGGAAAGCTACGATGCATATCGACCTATTGGAGCCGTGGCAGGGCAAAGGCTGGGGAAGGAAGCTGATTGACAAGTTCGTCGAGAGTCTGAAAGAGGCTGATCAGCGCAACGGTGGCTCCAGTGGCAACAGGCTCTATGGCAAGGGCGTGCATATTGGCGTCGGTGGTGAGAACGACAAGGTCGTGCCGTTCTATGAGAAGTTGGGGTTCCAGGTGTATCCTACAGAAGAGAAGGGGTCAATCTGGATGGTGAAGGACGTTGAGTAGCTTTTTTCTTCGCCCAATTTCTCTTACATCAAATTCAATTCAGAAATACCACCATCAGCAACACCAATCTCTGGCCATCAAGATGCTACATTCTAGACAAAGTCGAGCCTCCAGATGTCTCCTAGCCTCGAATTATCTTCAGCAAGACCTCCATGAACAACCACGGCCTGCTTACTTCCATCGATCACCACGTCCGCATCAAACCAGCCCCTCGGCGGCGGCGCATCCCCCTCGAACAAGACCTTCTCCCACGTCCCGGCCCCGATATCAAAAGCCCACACGTCCGAGAGCATCTTCCCCGCACCAGCGTGACCCAACGAACTAGGATCACGCTCGCCGTACAGCGTCACAAGGTGCGGCTTACCGCTCACTTCAACCGCGATGAGCGCCGATACACTTCGCGCCTCGGGGCCCTCTACACCATCCGGCTTGTACGAAATCGTAGACCATGCAGCGGAAGCCGGATCGTACACGTCGAGAGAACCGCCTTGTTCGGAAGTGCCATCGAAGCCATTCATACGGTATAGCTTGCCTCCGGAAAACGCGATGGACGCGCCGCCGCGTGCTGGGGGAGGCGCTGCAGCAAGCTCCTTCCACGTCTTTGACTCGATGTTGAATGACCATAGATCGGCCAGGCGGCCTTTCTCTGGGCATCCTGCGTGGATATAGATGGCCCTGTTACCGTCTGAGGTAGTGCAGTGGTAGCTGCGTCCGGCTGGGTGTGGTGCCGTTGCGTCGGCCGGCTTGAGTAGATCCCACCGGGCTTGGGATGGGGTGTATCGCCAGACGCTGCCAGATTCCTCAACGGGTTCCATGGCGATACCGCCGCGGCCGGAGAAGAGGTAGAAGGCGTCTTTCAGCACTGTGCTAGGGGCTCCGACTCTTGGAGATGGGGCTTCGGTGTCGGTGGAGATGGTCTTGGTCGAGGCCGAGTCTGGTAAAGAAGGTCTGTTAGTGGTGGGAGTTGGGGGTAAGGATGGGTAAGTATGAGAGAATACCCTTTTCGGACTGGAGTTCGACAACATCCAGTTGGTTGTCTACAGGCTCTCGTGGGAGGAGTTCACCACCGAAGACGAACGCTTGCTCCCCGATTACCGAAACTGCCTGCGATGAACGCCTGAGACGGTCGTTTGCAGCGAGTCGAACCCAAGTAGCAGAGAGTTTGGCCATGTCCGCGGATCTTCAAAAGACTTGAGAAGTTTTCTTGGTGTGGATTGGCGAGTGAGTGAAGCATATTTGCAGACAGCAGACGTTCTTATAGCTAGATAGATGCCCCTGTCTTCAGTTCCGTCATGTCTCGATCTGATAAAGAGCATCACTTGAGACCGGTTCCAAACCGAGCGCTCCACCACGCCATCTGATCAACGACGGGAAGCATCGCCATGTTCCTGGATCACTTACAACGTGCCACTGAAGACGTCGGACGCACAAGGGCTCGGCAGGCAGGGATGTAATGTGCTCATACCGGAGCCATTTTGCCCTCCGTGACTTATGTCATCGGAGGTTGTCTGGCAAACTTTGCTCCGCTTAGTCATGGAGATGTGCCCAGTCGCACCCTACCGTCTTTTTGAGACTGACCTCTGGTACAGGCAACACGGAGGAGAAGAGGTTCCGTTTTCTTAACACCGAAATCGAATCAATCAACAGCTTTCAAACTTATACACATCTCAACCTCAGTGTTCTTTGGCATTCGATTGTCGCCTTACACAAGACTAAGCCCTGTTCAGCTGGCAGCTATGTCCTTGAGGAGGTCATTTCTCAAAGCAGGTCGTGGACGAGTGATTACAAGTATAATCCAAGGCTTGAAAAAATAAAAGAGAAAAAAAGAGTTCACCCCCCAGTGTTGAACTAGGGGGCTACATCTCTTGGTGCTCATGCTGGGGATAATTGGTGCTCGTGCTAGGATTCGAACTCGTACGCGCTAAGCCTGTCGTCGAGTAAGCTGGTAGGTGTAAATATTGATTGTTGACCATTAACCATTCCACCACCACGCCACAGTTTGACCTGACCTCCGACCTAGGAGGCGCCTGATGTGCTGGTGACAGGAATGGAGTTGAGGGGGGTTATATACTGTTCTCGTGTATTCAGATGGAAGCTGTAGCGTCACGTGTGGAAGGCACGAACGAGACCGCCTTCCCTTAGAGGTTTACGTCTGATAAGCCATACATTAGGTACCTGGATGATATCCTGTTCTATGTAGCACTGCAGGTTACCAAACATTCGTCCTGTAGCTCAAGTGTCAAGATAAGGGCTGGGAGCTGAACTTAGGCATAAAGACATGGAGCCGCAGACAGGTCAGAAGAAGAATGGGATAGAGCCGGAACTGCCTTATAGTCGTATCACAATGGCCTCGGAGTGTCAGCCATGATCTATACATAGTAATCTCCGAGCTTCTATTCGGTTTTTCTAGCGCTTTGGTTTATGTCATAAGTTTAGGAAACTGGCGATCCAAGAGACTCATATGCGGGAGAAGTTCATCGATGATCGTTCAAACTTCCAAAATAAATGCCTCGACAGCAATCTGTTAAGTTTATGCGGAGGCTGGCGGATATGAGGTGTAGTTAAATGCCTGAACAGCATCCGGCACCACACACAACTGACAATGCTATTAAAGATGGAGCTTCCTAGTAGCGTCCTACACCTTGCACCACCGGGACCTTTGATGTGTTTGGCGAATTGAAACCTGGGTATTTCAGCTAAATTCGAGCTCTTCTGAGTAGCTCACCTATTTGGTAAGGTGTAGGTCCTCGCTGAAGGTAATTTGGATGTGCTTAAACCTCGGCCACTTGAGAAGTTGCTTTCCCAGACGCCTAGGAGCGACCCAGTTGTTCCTTCCTCCAGCGACTATTGATAGACCAGCTGGCTGTCCCGGCAACCGGTACAATTCTCGACTTCACCCTGTCAAGCGGAATATACGCAAACCTATATTCATTCAGTCTCTGGCATCACGTGCTTTTCCCTTTGAAAAATCCCCTTAATATTTCACACTATCCTGGAGTAGGGAAGTAAACAAACCCGTTGCTTCCAAGAAACGGTCCTTCTTTCCTGAACAACGCACCCGTTCAGCACTTATTTGCTTCTCCAGGAAGAGGAAGCCTTTCTTTTCTTCCCCATTACACAACTCGTCAAGCTTTGCCTTTCTCTTCCTGACGCCTTCCACGAAGGAGACTCATCGAGGCATTCATTTCTCCTTCAATACTCCTCCCACGAGAAAGCTTCTCGGTGGAGGAAGCCAAGTACAGGTAGGGGTTTCCTTCATGATGCTTCTGGCAGACCAAGCTAAAGCATATCCGCGTCAGGAAGGAAGTAAAGCCAACGTACCTTTCTCGACAGACGCTCTGCTCTGAATTATTCATCATTCACCTCCTACTCGGCGGGTCCTGCCACGCGCCGTGATCCCACATGCACGTTTCCACCGGCTTCCAGACATTTGTTCACCATTTCCCTGTCAGTAATACCTACTCCTACCTCCGATGCCAAAAGGATTGAAGCTCACGATTGGATAGCCTACAGCAGGACGATGCCGGGAATCTCTGATATACCTGTAGAGGTCTTTGAGCAGATCTGCTCCCAACTCCGATGCAATGATGACGAACTGAACGAAAAGGAGTGGATCGCATGCCAAAGCACCCTTCTCAGCATCTGCAGAGTGTCAAAGGCCTTCTACAAGCTCGCAAGACCTCACCTGTATCGCCAGATCTTCTTTGTTGCGGAGAAATGCAGCGACATAAAGTTCTTCTCCCTTGTCCGGGCGCTGGTCTCTCAGCCCACCCTCTCTCAGCAGGTCCAAAGTCTGCGCATATCTTATGCTCAAACACCCGATCTAGATGACCGGAACTGGTGTGACTACGAGGAATACCGCACGCCTTACAGCATTGCAGACTGGAACTTCCTCACCAACGCCGTCAAAGATCGATTGCCTTGGTTCACTTTCTGCCCTCGAAATCCGATTTGGGAAAACACCAACATAACCGTCACGGAGATCCAAAGTCGTGACTCCGATATCGAATGCTCGTTGAAATACCTTGTTTTTGCGCACTTGCCTAATTTGAGTACTTTGCATCTCTCTTTCCGGGTTTCAAAAGCCAGCCCCGAGTACAGACATTGCTCTTTCATCAGTTGGCACATTCCACAGCATTTACAGCAGGCGAAGAAACTTTTCCTCTACGGAGAAGACGCGCAGACGCCTTTTCGGCTCTGTGGAAGAATGTTTTGGCATTGGTACTTGCCCTCGACGCTTACGGATCTATGCATCAGGAACTGCGAACTAGTTCTGGCTGATTCTGGCGGCTCTTTCTTCCCAGAGACCTGGAGCATCAAGAAGGTTTCCTTGGTCGACTGCACAATGTCATCAGATGTCTTGTCTGAATTGACAAACGACGTCTTTCCATTGGAAGAGTTCGAGTATGTCGTGAACTCCAAGTCCGAGGACAAAGTCGCCCTCGTTACTGCTGCTGAGACCATCGGCCGCTTGAAGTCGTATTCCGCCTCTCTCGTCAAGCTTCGACCGCGGTTCCGACTATCTGATGGGAAGCCAATCCGAGAGGATGAAGAGCCCTACAATCCCTCGGACTTCTGTGACTTCAAGAAGCTCAAGACTCTTGTGCTTCACCTTGTGGACTTTGGGTTTCACGACGACCCCAACTCGACTATTCCGGACGTCAGCACGCTGGAATTCCCCAAGAGCATTCAGGATCTCAGATTAAACGAGGTTCTTTGAGGTGACCTATGCTACACAGCTGATGTGGTAATTGGGTTGGGAGCACAGATGAGTGGGACATGGAAGGTTGATTGGTGATACGGGTTTGCTTTGGGCCGTTCTTTGATCATGCCTCTGGACTGTTTTTGTCCTTAATGATACTCGGGCATAGCAGATCTGGGGCCGCCTGGGGAGAGAAATAATGGTCTGAAGCGCGCTATGAACTTCGTAGCATGGTGTGAACAAGGAAATGGGCAGGGTATCAAAGCGGTTGACTTGGTCTTTTGAACCTAGAGTCTAGATACTTCTGAGCTAGCCGCACCATCACCTTGAGTCAAAACCGAAGATCCTCAGTTCTATGTGAATATGAAGTGATACAACGTTTCCCTCGTTTGGAGCCTGTTGGTCACGCTTGCTTGGCGTACTAGTATGGTGTGACTCTGACTGTCCTTGGTAAATTTGAGGCGCAGCTTTGTCAGAAGGATATAGTGTCCACGTGTCTGTCTCGTGGTCGTTTGACAGCATTGCGCGATGTATTCTCATCGACAATCCGAGTCTCCGTGACAAACATGTCTTTGTGAGACCAAGGAATGCAAGGCACCCGGCTACCTTTTGCTTTGATACAGCCCCATGAAATCAAAGAGAGTATTGTTGCTGCAGCATTCTCATTGAATGCGATTGAGACCAGTCGTAATTCTTATTAGTGCGAGAGTAAAGCCCAAATCTCCGTCAACACGATGCAAGATCAGGCCTCGAACAACCACTCAGCTATTATGGGTATTGTTTCCGCCCAGAGTCCGCTCATAAATATCATACAGCCTGTAGAGTTAGGTCTGGTCAATTGGCATTAGACTTTCGGAACATTGCCACGAACGAATTTCCCTCGGCAAGGAGTCATCCAGTAACAGTAATAATGTCGTTATTATGCTGATTCCAGGAAAGCAATGGCAGGTTTCATTTCGTTTGAAAGAGCAATGTGATGCGCGTTGCCTGGCGTCAAAAGGCTGTCTGAGATTTACCATTTCAAAATCCTATGCAGATTTAGTATGTGATCGTCTCGAGGGCTTTAAAGATACAAGGCGAGTCAGACGGTGTCTGAAGGAGTTGCGAGGAATACGCTCCAAGCTCTCGCTGGACACAAACGCAACGACATGGGGAACTCCAAGTAGGGTAAGCAAGGAGCTACATTTAGCACAATGGTGCGATCTCTCGACAGAATCTCATCCAAACCTCATCATGACTCTGCCAAACTCAGTAGTTGAGGTGGAGAGCAATTAGCTTGGAATGCTTCAAACACTTTTATTGGCAACCGAGCAGTGGGATTTTCAGAGGATTAGCCGCAGAAGCTCATCTTGGGATGCAATCAATCAAGGATACCTCACGTGTGGCCTCTCTGGAACCTTAACCATCCGATGAGTAGTTGTGCCATGTGGTAGTCTGTGCGAAAACTCCAGTCGAAGCAGCTCGGAATAGTAAGAAGGTGACCTTATCTCGTGACGAGGGCACAGAACGCTACCCTTTCCTATTCGTTTGAAATGATGATCCGACAACGTGTCACCTTGTCACTCTCTGGGGCTCGACCGGCGGGTTTGAGCAGTGACCAATGCCACGGTTCCGCCAGAGATGCAATGATTTTCTTTTGGATTGCACTTGGCACCAAAAATAGGGCAGTGTAACCGGAAATCCACTATCGGGAGGTCTATAGGTTTCCTTGGGCTAGGCTGTGCGTGCCAGAATGCGAGTTTCGACTCAGAACAAGCACCAGGGTAATGCCATGGCGGAATGCTCCAAATGGAATGTTTACAGCAGGCTCTCCCCGAAGCTAGTTCGGTAACTTTGGGCAGACTATAGGGCTGATTGATGTAGCTTATCCTGTCTTTCCTACGGACCATTCCGTACGTGGAGTGCTCCGCCAGACCTGTAAAAGGCGGCGCGCGGGTTCCGGCAAGCCCCGACTGCGGTGGGAGCTATGATCTACTTGCCCAGACGGGGGAGGCCGGACAAATGGATCCTATATGTGCTCGGCAGCTCTGTGAAATGATTCGATGATTCGATCTATTGGCGCTTGTAAAACGGTCATCGTTTTGAAGACGATGTTTATTGGTCGTTGTTGCAGCCCATTGGTAGTGTTTGTGGTTCATCCCTCTCGTGAAGCTTGAGATGGGCCTGAGCTGAACTTTCTTTGGATTCTGTATGAGCTGTGTTTATTCCGTTTCATTTCGAGGAAAGTCAATTTGGTGTAGTAGACAACAGATTAAACCCTCGGTCGACTGGGTGTCCGGTGTAGCACGATTCATACCAGCCTGCCGTCGGCCTTTAATGGGGCGTTATATGAGCCTTGGGGGAGAGTTTGAGGCGATCTAGACTTTTGAGATTACCTAGATAACAGACCACCTCCGCTGGCCCGACGACAACAGACATATAGATTTGTTTAGTATGCTGTTTGATACTTACCATTCCTTACGACGCTTTGCTGGTCATTCGTTCAATTTAATACTTGACGCTTAAACACAATCACTCTCCACTATCGGTCAAAGTCAACATGTACAGCTCGACGTTGATCATGGTGCTGTCCGTAACGGGCAGTCTGGCCTCTGTTCTACCCCGAGCGGAAGACCCGGCCTTCAAATTTCAAATGGCCCCGGACAAGGCCAGTCGATCACCTTGTCCGGTCCTTAACGCTCTTGCCAACCACGGCTACCTGCCACGAGATGGCATGAATATTACCATGGATCAGCTCAAGTTTGCTTTCAGCAAAGCGCTCAATATCGACGAGAAGGTCACGGTGTCACTCAGTACACCCGCTCTTACGACTTCGACCACAGGGAACACGAGCACCGTCAACCTGGCGGATATGGTTAAACACAACGTCATCGAGCACGACGGAAGCTTGTCGAGAGCAGACCAGGCCGTCACAGGTAACGCCAACAAGTTCGACGCTACGGTCTGGAACCAAGTCAAGGCTCAGTTCACCGGTCCGACGATCGACATCAAGACGATGGCCAAGGCCCGAAGCATCAGGATTAGCGCTGCGATGGCGGAGAACCCCCAGTTTAACCTTACGCCGGCTCAAGTTAAGACTTCCTTTGCCGAGTCTGCTTTCATCTTGGGCGTCATGGCGGGTGACTTCAAGGCCCCTATGGCCCCGACACAATTCATGAACATTATCTTTGAGCAAGAGCGATTCCCGTTCAATGAGGGATTCAAGACATCGGCTACCAAGGTTACGGGAGATCAGGTTGATGCCTTGAGTGCAGCAATCATGAAGGCTACGACGTGAAAGAATCAGTTGGAGGGTGGTAGCGGGAGGATCCATCTCATAATATGCTTGAGTGTATGTTAATATGTTCAGCCAGGTCCTCAAGGAGGTCGATCATCCTGGAGAGACCCAGTGGACGATTACATTTACCTGAGTACTACATAAAAGATTTGGCCTGTTCTCGTTGAATGGCCTACGTAGACATCAAAGGTGTCTTGACGCTTGAGGAGCGGAGTAGCTACTTAGACAACATTGTGATTCTGGGTTTAGGTAGTGTCATCCACGTCTCAATGAGATAGACTAGGCGCTAGTGTTTATCCCCATGATCTGTTATCAGACTATATTGGGGTATAGACACAATCCGCACATATTTTGCTAACTAAGGTACTTGAATAATCACACAGTCGTGCTTCGTTTATACTCACTCCACAGGTTTTAAGTTCTGCGAACATGTTCTAAGACAATAATACAGCACCTTAGTCAGAAGATCCCATCAGGCCACACAGACATCGTTGTTTGTAACTCCCTTGAGGGCCATACCCGTCTTCCTGTGAGGAGCAAAGCCAGATACCAGCCCGGTGACCGAGTCTCTGTCTACGCCACCGCTCACGGCAACGCCTTTCTTACTGACCCTTATTCTTCTGAGGCTTCTTACAACCTTTCCATAGTTGCCGAAGAATTGGTGGGCCCTTGCGTCCTGCCCTGTAACTATTCCATGTCCGAGAGTCACTCCCCAGGTACCTGCGACGTTGATCGCATGAGCCTCCGAGTCCCGGTCTGGCTGAAGCAGAACCGAGTAGATACAGCCGGTGTACCTAACAGGCCGATCCGCAACATTGGCCGGGAAAGTCCAGGTCTTGCCACCATCGAGAGACAGAGGATGCCACGGAGTGACGACGAGCTCGCCAACACGACACATAATCTCCCTATTCACGGGTGTCTTGAGAACAGCGACGACCCGGCGTGGACCAGAAGGCGTCTGCACCGCTACACCTCTTCGAAGAGCCTTGATAGGAACCGTCCGGCCCGAGACGAGGCGCACAGGCGTCGAGGAGATAAAGCATACGCCGGAGGAGCTGTTGTAGGAGCTCATGTGTACTCTTCCGCGGTGGGTAGCCGTGTGCTGGTTGGAGGGTTTGGGTGGAGGAATGCTGTCAAACGCGTGATCCAACCTGTTCCTGCATGCTATGAAGAGAGGGCTATCGACTCCGTACCGAAGGGGGCCAGGGTCTTTGAAAGTATTACAAATTTGGCGGGTGTGCGCATTCAAGTATGAGGGTATGTAGTGGACGCCCCATTTCTTGTAGTATTCCCCGTTCGTCAAAGCTAGAGAGACTTGACCCTTTGGCTGAGCACCCTCAAGATCTTCAATCAAGGACTTGTTGTTCGGATCGGATGGGAAACGCTTTGCTGGGATGTCTTTGATAAGGGCTTTGAGGTCCTGGATCTTCTCGGAAGAGACACGGGGTAAGGCCTTGTGCTCGCCGTCGGCACCCATGGGGATGATGGTTGAGAGGAAGGAACAGATCCTGGAGCGAGAGACGTGGTAGACGAGCTCGGATTCGGGAAGAGTTGTCGGGTTCAGAAGCGATTGTGAGGTGCTTTGTGTATAAATGTTGTTTGCCATGCGAGAGTATTCAATCGATGCCTTCACAACCGCATTCTCCGAGGTGAGTTCCGCGGGTGCGTCTACTCGGAGGTAGATGTCCCTTGACTGGCCGTATTGCAGATTTCCAAGTGAGATCGAGAGCTCGTGCTGATC